CTTATCATCTGAGGGTGTCAGATGCAAGAGAACTTCTAAGAGTTGTTTCAGTGATTATAAGTAACATTTACCTGAACACGCTCTGGTTGAAGAGAAATGCAGTGATATGGCCACAGTTTATATATCGGACCTCGACACCAGGCCACAGTTCGATCAAGGACTTGATTCCATCTCTAGGAATGTATGCATCCAAAGTAGCTGCAACTGCAATAGCTAAAGTAGGATCCACTGGAGTGGAGAAATTCCCTAGATGAGTACACTCGTCCATAATCCCTCGCATGAAGTTCAGGGATTCCATGCGTAATGATTTTCGTCTCACCTTTGTATCATACTCGGCCTTCATCTGGGCCTCCAGCAGAGTGCGAGAGCTAATATTGTTCTCCAACCTAGTGGTCTGGCCCTTTAATGCTTGGCTTGGTTTTGACAGCCTTTCAGGCTCTACTTTAGCACCAGCACATACATCTCCATTATGGGGGGTACCACGTTTTGCTGTCTGAGCCATTATTTACTGTTGAGATTCCATTTATGCTAGTATTCTGGGTGTTTTGAGCTGGAACAAGTTTCACTTCACTTACACTCTCGGGATAAGTACGAGCAAAATGACAGCCAGCAATAAAGGCACTGTTCTACAAATTAAAAAAAAAAAGTATAATATGACTCTAAAACAACAAAATAAGTATAATATTAAGCCCTCAGAATCCTAATAAAAACTAGACACTGGACTTGAATTAGTTTCTAATATAATAATTACCTCAAGTTCTTTGAAAGAAAAGAACAGGAAGAAGTAAGCAACTGCCATTAACAGAGGAAAACTGGCATATTAATTTTTTAAATGATTTTGCCAATTTTAGTTTTCAAAAATATGACCAAGTACAAAATAACCCTTTATTTCAACTTGACAATAATGATTAAAATATAGATTTTAATGCATAAAACGTATGCTTCAAACAATCTTAGTTATATAGCACATACACAGAGGGTTGTTCAGGGTTGCTTCTAAAGCTAGTGGTCTTGTCTTTCATGAACTAAAAGTTGAAGGTATAAAATATAGTTATATAGCACATACACAGAGGGTCGTTCAGGGTTGCTTCTAAAGCTAGTGGTCTTGTCTTTCATGAACTAAAAGTTGAAGGTATAAAATTCACCAAAAACTTATCAGTTGTAATCAGACTGATTACATCAAACACTTATTTAAATATTTCTTAACTCTTTAATCAAGGATAGGTGCATTAAACTTACCACATAACCACCAATCTAACCAGGAGCTTAGTCATACTATAACTTTTGATAATGTATGTGTATCTTCACAAAATTTCATAGACCATCAGTAAACATCACAAGGCTTTTGTACACAAAACATATTTTTTAATTAAGTGTTTTAGTTAAAGATTTGCTCGTGAATTTTTGCTTTTGTAATGTTAACTGTTCAACATACATTCATTTGCATAGTTTTTAAGATCTAAATAAATGTCAAATTTTTTTTTCAGAAAATTATATTTTAACTGTTATTTTCTCTAACCCTATACTGGGTCAGTTGAATTGACTGACCTTGTAACCACCATAAAAAAACTGGAAAATAAATGTAAATTACTTTTTTCTTTCTAGAATGACTGCAAATTGTAACATGAAACCACAACTGTTTATCCTAAAAAGCTTAAAGCTCATAATAGCATACATTTATTTCAATTTATTTTGTTTTATTGACTTTTAAACTGTGTTTATCTAATAATCCCACCACACAAGTTATAAAATCATGCTGTTCGTGTTACCGTATTAAAGAGCATAAAAGTAGCCCACAAAGTACAAATATTTTACTGTTCTTAGTTTCAGTACTAGTGTACCAGTGTTTTATAAAATACAGTGACTATACATTATATATATATATATATATATATACTATTACTATTTATAATAAATTTTTAAACTTCACTTATTTTTCTTCAAACATAGAACAGTAACTAAAAAATATATAGAAAACAATGGTCTCTACTCATTACAATATTACAAAGTTTTTTGTACTTGCTAAGCCTCATCAAATTTCACACGTGAAGGAGGTAGAAAAATTAATTTTTGTAATTTTATATATGCATTTTGGAATACCAAAAAATTACAAATTACTATACCAGTACTATAAAAATCCACTGTAATTTATCAGGCTTCCTAACTAACCTCATTTCTGAGCAGAATACCACCTTGCTCACCATTCTTCAAACTCTGCAACAGTTATAACAGCTTTACCAGTGTAAATACTTTAGGAAAATGGACAGGATTACATAGTTCAAAATCAGTGCTTCCGATTGGTTATAACATGTACTTAAGTATGCATACATAAACAAGTATTTTCAAAATATGAAATGGTGGGAAGCCCCAATGTGGTGAGTTTGCTAAATATAATGATATCTCAGCAAATAGAAAAGGTAGGAGGTTCTTATTTTATATTCTAGCTTGTCAATATTGGTAATTTGAGTTTTTAATTCATTAAAAACTATAGATGTTGTATTGTGGGTGTCATAAAATGTAATTTGAACAAAAGCAGAAGACAATGTATCATGTGACAGACAGATATTTATATTTAGCTATTTTTTTAAATATTTACTTATGAATTATGAAATCAAATAATATATAACATTAAAATTTGAATTATAAATTATGATTTGATGCCAGATTTATTGACAAACATTCATAAAATGGTGGTTTAATAAAATTTTGAATATAAGACTACAAAACGTCATGATATGCACTCTGACCCCTACCCATATGGAAAGGGTTAAAGTTACACATTACACATGGCACTGAAACATAATCACCAAATTGACACAGGCAGTAATTGATCTCATGCAACATAACTGTATTGAACCTGTCATCTAATTTTAAATGGCAAATCTGCATATTCAAAATTTAAATTTATGACTTAGTTCTACTGAAGTAATATATCCTAAACTTTACCTGCTCTGGAGAATGGACCATCTTCCAAATCTCATTCCTGTATAAACTGTTTGAAAAAAACTGATTCTCTAAAAGATTCCATGGGATAGCATCACTCATCACACCCTGTAAGGAAGAGAAACAATTACTGGATAACATGTCCTGTATAATTACTTCTGACCACAGTTACAAACCAATTAAAGGAATTCACTATTACTCTTTAAAAACTATACCAAAACTTTAACCACTTTGTTAGCTAATAACTGCTAAAAATCTTCACTAACAAGAACAAAACTGTAAACTAAAAATTTAATCAGTTCCTCAGCTAACAACTGACAAAACGTTCTTCATTATCAACAGAACTGTAAACCAAAAGATACCAAGTTCATTAGCTAACAACGAACAAAACGTTCTTCATTAACACCAGAACTGTAAACCAAAAGATACCAAGTTCATTAGCTAACAACGAACAAAACGTTCTTCATTAACACCAGAACTGTAAACCAAAAGATACCAAGTTCATTAGCTAACAACTGAAAAAAAAAAATGTTTTCAATAATGTGTTGGAAATATTACTGTTATAGATAACTTTAAATGTTTTTATTTTTGCAGCTTTATCTTCAACAAAAATATTGTTCATACATCAAACAATTATTTTAAACAGTAAACAAACAGAAATAATATTTTGTAACAGACTTTGTTGTTCTTTTAATTTGAGTCAAAAAAAGATAGTTTTAGATTCTAAGATGTTTTCTTACTATTCATCAATATTATATTGCATTTTGATGAGGAATTAAAATATCTGATGAATCCTCCCAACATATGTAAGTAAAGCCTAACAATCAAAGTGGCTGCTTAATTATATCATGCCTGGAATGTGTGCATCCTACCTCGAGGGCAAAACTGTAGAATTATAGAAAAACTTGTAGCCATTATTCCACATATTGAAAAATAAATAAATTTCAGAGTTGAAACTTATTCAATAAAAAGTTCTATTTATTTTAAATCACAAAATTTAGATTTGAGGTTCAATTCAGCATGCTCCGAACAATAACAAATTATTGCTTGCAAATTTCCCGATTTTTCTTTCTGACCATAAATCAGTGCTGGCAGCCCCCTAGTATGACTGTGTACTTTCTATTGATTTAGTCAATCAATGTTTCTCAACATTGGCTGTCATGGCATAACGTAATTGCTTCAGCTTCAAGAATTCATAAACTTGTGATCTGTATATGAAATGGAAGATCTGTTTCATTTCCAATCAACCGTATAAGCCAACATGGCTTTCAGTTCTGTGGAGATTCTCGTAGAGGTCAGAACAAAATGATAAAAGCTAAGCTTGATGAACATGTCTGTAAATACTTTCTTGAACAGCTACAGTCCCAATTCTTTTTTTTTTTGAAAATGTTTGCTTTATCATTTTCTATTTAATTAGGATTAATAATACTGCAGTATAATAGGAAAACAGAAGTTTTTCTTAGAACATGATGAATTAGGTTTATTTAAATCATTTTGCCCTCTACAGTATGTTTCATTTCACTGCTGTGTTAGGCACCGTTTACATTAGGATTTATTAGACTAACTACTTAGACAGGCACAAAAATCAAAGGAAGAAATGTATAAAAACAAACATATAAATTAATAAGTAACAGGTTTAAAACATACTACATATATTAAACCTTCCGATTAACAAGAGATATGACAACTTGTAACATTACTGTTACAAGCTTATAATTTTGGTATGACAAAAAAAGTTATTTTTATTGTATGCTAGTAATTGTAAACAGTGAAACTGAATGAATCTATAGTCACATCTGAACTAATAATTACTGACATACTCCACCAGGAATGGTTGTGGTCTCGTAGGTACTTCCAGCTACAGTAATGTATTATGACTTCTTTTAATTGCAGAAATCCATTAGAAAATAAAACATTCTTATAAAAAAGCTGCTCATAATTGGTACCTGGGTAAAAACACAGGAGGCTGTAGTCCAAGACAAGCAGGGGACTAAAGCAAGAGGTTTGTGCCAATTACATCCCGATATGGATGCCATCTGAAAAAGGAAACTTAGTTTAATATATGTGGTAGGTAACTAAATGTTATAATAAAACCTACACAAACCAAACTGTGACAAATGATAACATGCTTATGAGGTATGGTAACTTGTAACAACATCTTCATTATGAGGTATGGTAACTTGTAACAACATATTCGTTATGGGGTATGGTAACTTGTAACAACATATTCGTTATGGGGTATGGTAACTTGTAACAACATATTCGTTATGGGGTATGGTAACTTGTAACAACATCTTCATTATAAGGTATGGTAACTTGTAACAACATCTTCATTATAAGGTATGGTAACTTGTAACAACATCTTCATTATAAGGTATGGTAACTTGTAACAACATCTTCATTATGAGGTATGATAACTTCTAGCAATATATTCGTTATGGGGTATGGTAACTTGTAACAATGTCTTCGTTATAAGGTATGGTAACTTGTAACAACATCTTCATTATAAGGTATGGTAACTTGTAACAAAATCTTCATTATAAGGTATGGTAACTTGTAACAACATCTTCATTATGAGGTATGATAACTTCTAGCAATATATTCGTTATGGGGTATGGTAACTTATAACAATGTCTTCGTTATGGGGTATGGTAACTTGTAACAATGTCTTCAGTATAGGTTATGGCAACTGGTAACATTGTTGTCTTTACGTGCTCACATTTTGTTCCATTAGGATGCCAGCAAGCCCAAGATGTAAATCATTAGCTGTCTGTATAAGTAAAAAAGAATTACTCAAGCCCAAGATGTAAACTCCTAGCTGTCTGTATATGTAAAGAAAGAATTACTCAAGCCCAAGATGTAAACTCCTAACTGTCTGTGTATGTAAAGAAAGAATTACTCAAGCCCAAGATGTAAACCCCTAACTGTCTGTGTATGTAAAGAAAGAATTACTCAAGCCCAAGATGTAAACCCCTAACTGTCTGTGTATGTAAAGAAAGAATTA